CACCCGCACACACATTCACACACACACACACACACACGCGCGCGCGCGCGCACACACACACATACACTCACACACACAGACAAGCACACGCACACACACGCACACACACAGACACACGCGCGCACACACACACACACACACATACTCACACACAGACACTCACACACACTCACACACAGACACTCACGCACACACACACACACACACACACACAAACACTCACACACAAAGCTTCCCTCGCCTCTGAAAGCTACTTAATCAGCATCACTTAATGCCTGCTCATCAGAAAACCGCTTTCTAAAGCACACAGAGAATTAAATACATCACATAAATTAAAGCGTGTGCTTAAACGAGAGACTGGGCTCACAGCGACTCTTATTCTCAATGGTTATACTAATTGTGGTATTCAATATATGAATGTAGTGTATATATATATATATATATATATATATGAAGAGATTATTTGCAAAAAAAACTCATAAATCATGTTTTTTATTGTTATCATGTTTTTATTGTGTTTTATTGTGTTAGTTAGCTGTACTTTTTTGTTATTTTATAACCTAATCAGAATAAACCAACTGCAGTTTGATTGAAATTAATTGGAATGGACAATGAAAAAATATGATTTTTGAAAATTGTTAAAACCGAGTTATCTGTTTTTGCAAAGGAACTCTTCATATATATATATATAGAGAGAGAGAGAGAGAGAGCATTTAAGCATTTTATTTTATGTAGTATTTTTATTGAAATTAAAATATGGGCAGTAAACAAATACTGACTAGAAAAAAAACTATATATATTCTCAAAAAATATAAATATAGTAAAAAATAGTGTTTTTATTTTCTACGTAAAATAAAAATTCAATTTTTTTTACTATATTTATATTTTAATTTTTATTCATAAGAAATACATCTTTATATTTCTTTTATTTTTATTTTTATAAAAATCTAGCACTCTAACAAATACTGATATATATAATCAGAAGTCATGAAATTAAAATGTTAAATTATTGATGTTCCCAAAAATACTTTTTCTTCAAGCTAACCATAATTCCCTGTGTCTTTCTTTTGATTTTGTTGTGAAATCTGACCTGCACAAGTTCTAAGGTTTCTCGACATTCCCCTTTCTACTTGATGAGAACTGGATGAAAAAGTTTGTAAGCCAAATCAAACTGTATATTTAAACATCTTTCTGTGAAATGTGATTGCAGGACGTACTCGTGTATATTCAGTCAGACGTTTCAATAAAATGGTTCGTTACAACCTCAAACTGTAGAAAACAGAGGAGGAAAGAGAGTCAGACTCACTCAGGACGTAAAGCGAGAGTCTGATCGCCGCCAGACAGAAGCCTTCGAAGAAGCGCAGCGTGCTGAACATATTATTGAAATTCTGAGTTTATTGAAATTCTGAGTTTATATCTGGCAATTCTGAGTTTATTGAAATTCTGAGTTTATTGAAATTCTGAGTTTATATCTCGCAATTCTGAGTTTATTGAAATTCTGAGTTTATATCACATTTGTGAGTTTATATCTGGCAATTCTGAGTTTATATCACATTTCTGAGTTTATATCACATTTCTGAGTTTATATCTGGCAATTCTGAGTTTATATTTCACAATTCTGAGTTTATATCTGGCAATTCTGAGTTTATATCTCACAATTCTGAGTTTATATCACAATTCTGAGTTGATATCACATTTCTGAGTTTATATCACAATTCTGAGTTTATATCACATTTCTGAGTTTATATCTGGCAATTCTGAGTTTATTGAAATTCTGAGTTTATATCTCACAATTCTGAGTTTATATCTGGCAATTCTGAGTTTATATCGCAATTCTGCGTTTATATCGCAATTCTGAGTTTATATCTCACAATTCTGAGTTTATATCTGGCCATTCTGAGTTTATATTGCAATTCTGAATTTATATCTTGCCATTTTAAGTTTAGATCCCACAATTCTGTGATAATTCTGAGATAATAATGTGATAAAAGACTTTATAGGAACAAGTTCGGCATGAGAATTACATGCATCATTTATACATGTTTATTTGGTGTTTGTGCAATTCTGAGTTTATAACTCACAATTATTAAATGTTTCTCAAGTCTGGATTGTGAGATAAAAAATCACAATTACCTTTTTTTTTCTTCTTTTATCCCTTGGTGGAAACAGGCTTCCATATGAAGTAGCAAACTTCTGTGCAAACCTAAATGTGCATTGAGCTCTGAAAGGAAATGTATGAGATGATAATATGGTAAAGGCCTTTACTGGAACAAGTTCTGCGTGAGATTCACATGCGGCGTTCATAGATGTTTATTTGGAGTTTCACAGGATGATTGTGACTTTTAAACTGTTTTTGCAATCTGACAAACTGTTTTTTCAGACTTTAAGAGGAAGCGTGCTGACATTAGTTGTCGGGCCTCAGCGTTATCTCTCTGTCCGTTGGGGTGAGCATTTAAACAGTTATCTGCTCCAGTCTGGAGGGTGTGACACTGAATTATCAGTCTGATATGCATGCTGTAGGTGAAGTGATATGCTCACGAACCCGTTGACACTGCTGGTTAAAAACCTCATTTACATAACCATCAGTGATCAATGCAACCTTACAATTCCTTGATCAAACACCCTATTGAGTAAAACCTTGCTAATTAAATGTAAATCTGCAAAGTGCATCAAATAATCAGTTGATTTCATGCTAAACGTTTACAGATTCAACGTGCATTTTCAGTCATTTCAGTGCATGTTCGGTAAGGCCTAAAATGAATGACTTTTATGTGATTATTAGTGTGTATACATATAGACTATTGCAATGGGGTTACAGAAGCATTTCGCCCATCAAATGAACCTTTAGATGTTCTCTACATTTGTGAGTCAGTGAGTAAAATCACTGAAATTCTGCTACCCCCGTTTTTCACTAAAAACGGACTAAAATGTCAAAAATGTAAAAACACATATATTTCTGTATTAGAGGCCTCCTACAACCACATTTAAAAGGTGAAATTATTTTTTCACAGGTTTTTTCTATATTTGGGTCTTCTAGGGTTAGATGGTAGCTCGTCAGAATTATGATTTAGTATGTCATTGTCATAATTTGGACTTTTTACCTATTATGTATTTGTATGTCAGAATTATGATAAGTGCGATAAACAGGCCTAAATTTGAGCTAACAATCTTCCTCTCAGCAGCATTTTCGCTGCTCGACCGCCCCAGTCCCCATCCCCAGATAGCACACATACATCTGCAAGATGTCTGTTAAAGATCTCTTGATCTGGAAAGCATCTGCTGTGTACAAACGTCTGACAGATGTCTTTCAGATGTCAGTTTTACATACATTCTTCTAAATCATAAACATCTTAAAGACATCTAATATAGGCCTACGTCTATTTTATATCTGATATGAAACGTCCAATAGACGTCCAATATTGCAAATGAGCAAAAAATACGTCTTGCAGATGTAAATGCAGACGTCAAATAGATGTCTCGTTGATGTATGTGTACTATCAGGGTCCACTTGTACAGAAAATCGTATGCATTTTGGAAGGACGCGAGGGCGTGTAAATACGACCGATTCTGACCGATGACGGAATTTTCATTTTTAGGTGAACTATTCCTTTAAATGGTAGCTTTCCATCCACCGGAGGGAATCTTTTCCAAGGGCATCCATCAGAGCATCTTACCTTGGTGACCACATTCTGCTGCAGTCCCGACTGCAGCTCGAACCGCCACTCGGAGCACATGCACGCCGTTACGTTGCTGCCCTCGTTCCCGGTCGTGATCAGATCGAAAATCTCCCGAACCGAACTCGTTCTGTTCTGATCCGGACGGACGCACTTTCTTTCCGGTTGACCGAGCAGAAAGTGGTCCGAGAACTGGCTGAACGAGATGAGGAACGCCGGGATCCACGTTAGAGCCACCAAGCGCCGCTGATACCTCCCAAACCCGCCGAGGAACGGCAGAACCACGGTGTCCACCTGCGAGAGCCGCTTGTGCGGCTCAGACTGCGACACACTGCCGTTCTCCGCCGGTGATGGGTTGAGCCCATCCAGCTGAACCGCATCCATAGCGCGTCGGTTTGCGCGGAGGGTCTTTGTCTCAAAATCACACTCACACACGCTGAGGTTCGGTGTAAATCCGGTCTGAACGGAACCCACTCTGAATCCGAGCTATGATAATCCAGCGGGCGCGATGATGCGCAAGGGGCCCCATAAGGTCTTTGTCGAACCCGGTGGTCACAACGCCATCGCCGCGCTGCAGGATGCCCAGATCTGCGCGTCTGCGCCCGGTGGTCTCCAACAGGTCCGCAGGTAACGCAGCTGGCGCACAGGTGTGGCCCGCGTATCCATGCTTGAATCCCGCTGTACTCACATCAGGGGTGCTGCTGAGCCGATCCCACCCAGCGGCCGCGCACTAGCTCATAAATAACCCCTAAGTAGCGAAGGCTTGGTCCCTCAGCGCGCCGTTTGCACCAGCGATCGCGCATCCAAACGCAAGATCCGCCCCCTTCGCATGATCTGTCCTCCGGTGTGTGTGATTGGACGGGCGCAACAAAGAGCCTTTGTGTGGCATCTGCCCCTCAAGAGCTCAGGGCAGAAACACTTCAGTGGCCTTCTGTTTTTATTTGTATTTTTTACATATACCGTTAATGTTAGTGTTATCTGTAAGCACCAAGGGTCTAACGCAATTTCAATTCTCTGTAAGTGCTGTACATGCGGCAGAATAGACAATAAAGGAGACTTTGACTTTTGACTTCTTCGACAAATGTGTCCCTGCAGCATAAAAGCAGTGTTAAGTCGCTGGGAGATATTTGTAGCAATAGCCAACAATACATTGTATGGGTCACAATTATACATTTCTCTTTTATGCCAAAAATCATTAGGATATTAAGTAAAGATTATGTTCCATGAAGATATTTTGTAAATCTCCTACCGTAAATAAATCAAAACTTAATGTTTGATTAGTAATATGCATTGCTAAGAACTTCATTTGGACAACTTTAAAGATGATTTTCTCAATATTTAGATTTTTTTGCACCCTCAGATTCCAGATTTTCAAATATTGTCCGATCCTAACAAACCATACATCAATGGAAAGCTCAGTAAAGTCATTGTAAATTGAGTGCAGAGTGTTAAGAAACATTATATTATATTATATTATAATGTGTATTTATACTTTATAATATCTTGCCATATAAATAATTAAATAAATGTGCATTCAATGTTGGATTTGAATTTAAATTATTTTATTATGTGAGAAGAAAGAGAGTGTTGGGCATTAAACATTATTATATTATAATATATTATATTATATTTTAATGTGCATTATGTATACTGTACATTAATGTGCCAAATAAATAATTAAATACACAGACATGAAATATTGATTTGAGTTTAAATGATTGTATTATGAGTGGAAAGGGTTAAGGAATATTATATTATATTATTATATTTTAATGTGTATTATGTATATTATCTTGGCATATAAATAAATAAATGGACATGAAATATTGAATTGTAAAAGTTATTATTATGTGAGTTAAAAAAGAGAGTGCAGAGTGTCAAGGATATATAAATTATATTATATTATATTATAATGTGCATTATGTGTACTGTACATTATCTTGCCTAAATAAATTATGGCATAAATAAATTGACATAAATGATTGATATTGAGTTTAAAATATTTTATGCGAGAAAAAAAGAGTGACGTAAAGTCGTATATTTCTATTGTAGTTCTTGCTTAGTTGTGAGGGTTTATCACGGACAGTTATTCATTTCACTTAAAGATTGGACAATGTAGACCAAATGCTATAACAAATCAGCTTTTAAAACATGTTTTGAAAATCCATGTTAGTTCATGTTAAATGTTCTCATCACTCTAGGGATGGTTTCCCTATTTTTATTGTATGAAGTCATTGAAATATCTCCATGTTTTCATTCATTCAGGCCGTGCACCATGTGGCCTAGAAATGCCTGCTGTCCTTGGCTCACTCTGCTGTGGATTATCCTTTACACCCAAACAAGAACAAGTCCAACACTTCAGGACACAGACTGTACTTCACTGTACATCGCTGCAGGAGATTCAGCACAGGTGATCTTTCGTGAACTGCAGCTGTTTTTGTTTTATGGGCACATTTATGTCATTTAAAATATGAAATACCCTCATAAAGTATAATTATTAGTCATCATTTCCACCACGACCAACAATTTTGTCCCTTAAAAAAATGAGTGTTCTTGCTTACTAAGGAAACAACAGTGTCAGAGGAGAAATGCAATACACATTTGAAGAAAACCAAGACAAATCAAGGTAAATATCACTTTTAAATATTGTGTTTTCATGATTCATCATATGTTTTAGAATGATACATTTTGAAATTGTGTGTATTTAGGATAAAATGTACAAAGGTGACCACTTGTATGGTGCAAATGTCACAATTAGTAATTATGTGTATAAAATAGATATCGAACTTATGAGATAATTAGACCAAATAAACTAGAGAGAATGCATGAGAAAGTGGGTCGGGTCGGAAAATGGACGGGGTTTAGTGACCTGCCTGCTGTTTTTAATTGGTCAGTTGCAATTGATAAATAGCAGTTCTCCGTTTTTAACAGTTATTTATTTATTTAATGGCTAATCACATTTTTCGGGGTCATTACTTTATTAGACTGCAGCAGTGTACAGCGAGCACGTCACGTGGTACCTGTTATTCTTCTCAGCGCTGGTCAGGATGAACCAATCACAGTCGTTTGTGATTACCAGATTAAGCTCACCAGATTTACCAGATTTAGATCACAATTAAAACAATTTAGTGTCAACAAGGACTCTGCACATCTTGCATAGCAAAACAAAACAGTAATTAGTTTAAGAAATGTGTTGTCCAAGTTCAATTTGGCATGATAGACGGCAGGCTACGTACCGACAAAGCATTTGCAAGGACTAAAAAGAATAAAACTTGACCAGAGAAGATCTACTGCTGTTAGAATCAGCATCAATATTTAGTTACTGGCAGATGGCGCTATGTGTTAACAAGGAGAGCGGAACCTTTACATCACACTTCCGGTGCAGTTTTGGCTCATATGACCACTGTGTAGGATTTTTTTCAAGAAAGTAGTTCTTCGGAAGTAAGGTCACTCTGAAGGGGTCTTATTGCACAACAGTGGAGTTACAGAAATAAAAGGCCTTTTCATTTCCTCCATAGAGTAATGCGATTTCCCAGTAAAGCTATATGAAGTTAAAATATGCTATTACGTGCCACACATCAGCATCATTTCAACTTCTTGTTTGAAAAACAACAACAATAAGGTTCAAGCAAGGTTCAAGATTTTCCACATTTCTATAAATGATCTTGCTTCACAAAAGAGAAAATAACCTCCACAAACTGTTGCAACAAAGCCTGAAGTACAGAATTCTCTAGAATGTCATTATATGGTGAGAGTGTCTTCATACAAATGATTGGAATAAGCAAATCTGTTCATTAGAAGCAGCTGTCAACACACTTTTGGTCATATACTGTATTTATAGTCAGTGACTAGGGACAAGTAGTTCATTCTCTCTCTCTCTCTCTCTCTCAAAAAATGTATGTATGTATTTGTTTGTTTGTTATTGGCTAAATACAGGTCTGTACCTTTTGATTTATTTATCTATTAAGCAATGGGGGGAAAAAATTGGTATTTGCTCATCTGAAATAAACTATTTATTTATTTGTTTGTTTCAGATGATCAAATACCAAATATCTATTTTTTTCTCCAAACCCCCCCCCCAAAAAAAACTAAATACACAGTCCATTTGTACAATTTGTATTTATTGATTGGTTGACTGATTGATTGATGTATATCATATTATCAAATACTTTTTTGCTTCAAATTAAAGTTTGTAATATTGTGTTTATCTTGGATTTGGTTGGTTTGGTTCACGGATCAGAACTTTTTATTGAAGTTTTTTTTTAATCCAGTTGGAGAAAATGAACAGAAAACAAACAAATAAATAAATAGATAGATACATTTACATCATAGGCATCTCCATGTAGTAATACCATACTTTGAAATCTATCATTACCTTAGTCACACAACATGCTATTGACATGCTACTGCAAGGTAGCACAACAAACAGCCCAGGCATAAACGCTCCATTTATTAGTTTGTCTTCTTCCAACAGAATCCGTCTCATGTATAATTGATGACTTGAGCGTTCAGCTGCCAGCACTGCGAGCCAGGTGACATCATGTGTTCAGAAGAGGAGTGCTATTACAAGGGAGAGAGAGAGAAGGAGTGAGGATATATTTCTTCACAGTGAGATGACAGCATACAGTCAGAACTCATGCAGCTCACATACACGTGCCATCATCACACAGACACACACAGACACACACACACACACACACACACTCACACA